TATATGTTCTTGAGGGAAAGGGTGACAACCCAACTTAAGGAATTGCAATGGAGAACGTAAAATCCATATAGGTTAGGTGCTGTTACTTCCTTGTGCCCATCACATTAGCTTATCCACCCTAACCGGCGGGGTGGTGATTTTTGTTCTACTGAAACATATCCTGGGGAAACTACTTTCCTCAATGCTTAATCATTTTCATCATCTTTGCTCCATAGCATGCACTGCGGCAATAAATAACACTATAGCCCTCACAATTTGAAGTCAAAATGCCACGCTAAGTCCGGAATTCGTCATCAACAAACTAAGCAGTTCTTGGGCTACCGGGATTTTAAAAAAGTTGTTCAGCAGTGGTAGTGCGGAAATGTAAATGTCATACAAACTGAACGGGATACCTAAATAGGCTTAAATGGAAGCAGTCGCAAGGTCAGTTCGAACAAGGGACCTTACAACACACTGCTCGCGCTTTGACTGTGTGCAATTCAATTTGTATTGAAACCAATTTTGAAATGTCCAGGTAGTAGTTTTGTCTTCTCCCAATATGAAGCCAAGGTCCTTTGAATGCTTGATCTGTTTTCCCAGTTGAGCGATCCCATTACAAACCTGTTACTGGGCGGCTACGTGACGTGTGTACACAGATAAATGTGGTTGTTCAGGTAATCGAGTGTCCGACTGAAGCAGGCTGAGTGTTACAAGGAGGTCGAAAGTGTTACTGCACTTGGAATTAATTGTACTGTGCGTGAAATACTTTCAGGATGCCCGTTGGTTTGGATATTAAGCTGGTTTTTTCTGAAATTTATTGATATATTTAAATGAAGCCAAAATTTGTGTACTGTCGTCTTCGAAAACAGATCGATAAGATTAAATATAGAGGCAAGCTGTTGGCTTTTGCTAGCGCTGGTCTCATTACTCGTATCTCACCTTTTAACTGATTAATGGTTGAGTGCTGATTACTTTAGGTTAAGTAAGGGTTCGGAGAGTGCACAAAGCACCCAAGAACAGGTCAGCTTTTAGCATGTCGAATAGACGACTATCCTTGACTCAGTGAATTCAGGCAGAATGATCGGATGGTTGTCCAATAGGTTAAAACGACTGCACAGTTTTCTTATGGAGCCAATAGGTTTTGCCACAAAGAATAGTTTAACGGAGCGAATTCAGCGCTGATGAGAGGAAACACCGGTGAACTACAAAGCGTTCGCCATAACTGTTGATGGTCGTGCCCTTATCCGATACCTAACCGATAGTATAAAGCGTCACTTTGTTATTATTGGAGAGTGTGTTTTTACCAATTGGAATGATTACTATTCGGTGCTTCTTTTGGTGCGATTTGTGCAAATAGCACACAGGTTTGGCAGTTCATTGGTACTTTTCAGTGGCGTTCTGATCACACTTTAACTGAATAAGTTGTTTCAGGTGAGGTTCAGCTTGTTCCGTCTAGTATCACTCTCTGTCACGCTTAACGCAGAATTTTCCTCTATTCCAACAGTCCCTTACATACATTCATATTAGTAAATCATGAATCATGTACGGAACTATTCGGTTTTTATATTAACCTGCTGCCTGTCCGGGCAGCTTTGAAAGTAGCATGAACTTCTGAGGGCATTTGGCAGAGAATTGAAGAAGAGTAGGCATACATCCTTTGAAATCCCATGGAAATAACCATGTGTTTATGTAACTCACTTCACGCAAACACCGGACATTCACTTTTCTACAGTTCGACTTAGACAAATGAAAACTGACTTGGTTTCCTAGTTAAACTGTACCACATTTGCGATTATTCTCTGCGCATGTTTGATTGATATACCCACAAAATAAAGTGCTTTCCTTGTGATGCCTCCCTCTAACAGTTTGAGTAGATAATCCCGTGGAGTCAAATGGCTCTACAGTTTTCCACCCATTACAGTGGTCGGCTATTGCTCATACATGCTGATTCTGTGCTCATGTGGGCAGTCGACAGCTGGCCGACGTCCACACACCATTACTTGAATCCTGTTTCCAAATCTTTTCGACTGACCTCTCTAGAGCATTTTTGTAGGGGACCATGAATCAGAACAATGCTGTGTTGAAAGAAGAATACTTATCGGGACATCCGGCAAAAAACCGTGGCTTCAACTTCCCTTTTCTCGTAGAGGAGTGATAAGATCCAGACTGATATTAGTCAAACCCTCAACCACTAGTTCATTCATGTGCACAAACGTGCACGCCCGTGCGCTTATCGGTTCATTTATTCATATTTGTATAAAGATCTAACCTTTCGTACAGTGTCCATTGAGTCAATTATCCGTCCATAAACGCTCACATTCATTCGGCGAATGCACCCACTTTTTACCGCTCAGCGCAGCCCTTAATGTAGCAACCTAAGGACTCTGTCACACAACACAACCATCTCTGTGGCCTCTGCTAGACCATGCATATCTCCTATTAGGTCGCAAAATTGCTTAGTAGGCGAAATTCTTCGCTTCTGCATCCACATTTACAACATTATGTGAGTGGGCCAGAGCACCTTATCTGGTCATTTTTGTCTGACTGTTTGATTTCGTTTTTTGCGTGCATATTAATATTTTCTCGAAATGCTGTTATCCGCGCCTCCCAATACGCTTATTTTTCCAGATGGCCGAAAAGATTTGCCTGTACTTCATGGTCGAACATCACGGGAAACACTTCTTGAAGATGCATGCGAGGTTGTGAAGAAGTTCATGGCTCGTGATCCTGATAATGTTAATTTCACTGTGGTTGCTCTTTGCAAGAAGCCCCAATAAAACGTGGTCTCTCGATGAATATTGGCCTTTAGTTTCGGCATTCGAAATTCGCACACTACTGAATTCGCTCGGCTAAATGCAAAGTGGGTCTGCGTTCTATCAAAAGACCATTTTGCCACGATTTTCTGCAATAATCCCTCATACTCATTTTGACCTGAGATCGTAACGGTCCTCAATGTAGACCGCACATAACGTGCGGGTTGTACGGTGGGTCAAACGATTTCAGTTTCGTTTGCTGTTGGTCGGAGAACCCCAAGTGGGCAGGCGCACACTGAGGCTTCTGTTGTTATATTCTAAGCTCACCGTTGGTGGTTCAGTGTATTCGGCTGAATATTTTTTTAGAAGATGGTAAAGGAGTACGGTAACTTATCTCAAATTACTTGCCGACCACAGCCCCCTGTGACTGGATAGATTGACTTCACAGGTGTCCCATGATATTACTTCTCATCGTTGAAGTTGTCAGAGCTCTCCAGACGCCTTAGTACGGTTCGAGGGTAGGTGCTTTGAGAAACTGGTAACATAGTTTTGTGCTCCAATCAAATGCACCCAAGGAAACAGTTATCGTGTATTTTCTGCTGAGGTAGTCTTATTCGAAGTCTTCTTGTGAATTGGATGTCCCTATTAATGTTAAATGACAAAAATTTGTGTTGGAGCTGTAGCCTAGTTACTGGAGCTTGTCAAATCCTGATCCCAAACCAAACTAATTCATGAATCCGGTACGGTGAACCATGTGGGTGAGTTTACAACGGTATACAATGACTATTACATCATTCTCCGCAAAGTCCTCGCTGGCTACTCTCCAAACGATTGTTCGTTCAGGGTAACCAATATAATTTACCCCGTAATGCCATGAAGACTGCATGATATGATAACAATAAGACGTTTTCTGTGCAGACTGACTTGCAAATTAAAAGACGAATCGACATACAAAACTAAAATGCTCGACTATTGGAAATTCTAATCACATTGAATACTTTACAGGATTGTAGGCAGTAGTTCGACGGCGTCCCTTAGGAAATCAGTGATGAAAGTTGCGTCTTTTATGTTGAGGTAAGGTTAATACGCGTTCCTTGTGTTGTTTATAAATCTGCTCTTGACCAGTAGTAACCATCGGTCGCTCGCACGGGAGGAAATTCACCGCGATTTCGGTTCGGACAGTGCCTGCTACTACGATGCATCTTGTATGGACCAGGAGTGGTCTGCATGGGGCTGACTGTGATGGAACGGCCAATCAACTGCAGCTTCGGCTTGTGACGCTCTTGTGTGGAGTGTGAGTTGGACCAAAGAGGTGCGAGTTTGCCAACTTTTATGTTTTTTATTGCCGAGTTCCTAATGCTTTCGTGATACTGATCTGGTGCTCCGATGGAGGCCGAAGGATTACTGTATCTGGCAGACAGCTTTGGATCTGTTAGCGAAATCCGTGTTCGAGAACCCAGGCAACCCTTGACGCCGTGTGTGAATTGTTTGGTTCCTGTAAAACGAAAGAACAGGACAAAGCTGTTGGAGAATTTCGAGCGAAGCAATCTTCCAACACCATTGGACAACTTTTGGGGAATACACCGGTATTCTTATTTCAACAGTTATTGGTTCGGCCGATTACTTATGATGGAGAGATCGGTGGATCCACCTGTTTCAACGCCCAGTTTTATCCTGATTGATTCGATATTTCGCGGCGGTGGCTGAGAAGAGATTTCAACATGGTCACTCGACATTAGTGGACGGGGCTATGTTCAAACATGCCACTCAGCACCATCGTGAAAGTAACTGTGGCTGTGTCGGAGACACACTGGATTTCTTACTGAATAATCGAATCGATCGATTCGTTTTTTCGTTAGGCGACTAATTCATTCTTATGTATCAATGTCTGTCGCCACATTTGGCCAGTGCGCGCTGGTGACGCGCATAAGCGAGTACAACCGTGACAGTTAAATAAATTACCAGTTCGTCGATTCGATCTTATTGGCATCCTAAGAGAGATCGCCAGTCAACAGTCGTTTAACTACCGAACCGCCGTCGGTTTATGCAGGGCCGACTAAATACAGAGATCAGTCGATTCACACTTTCTGCTTGACCGTGGCTGTTGGAGTATGTGGCTTGGCCTTGAGCTCCGATGATGTGGTCGGACGACTTAAAAACGTGCCGCGGTCTTGTGGTGTTATCGGTACTTTGATATCGGTCCCTAAATTGGAACTATCGACGTGAGAAAAACTTGCATTGCTACACCCCTAACATTGACCTTCGTCGCGTGTGAGTTTTAAGTTCAACAAAGATTAAATTAGTCTGTTGGGTCATTCACTCAGCCTCATGCTACGAACAACCGTCACTCGAGATTTTTCACTTTTTATTAAGCTGAGAAACGGAGCAACAGTGCGAAAAATGTGTCCACTCTATATACGTTTATGTTGTTGAATATAATCACTTCTGGCATTCTCACTTGTAATTGTCGAATTGGAATTCTATCGAAAAACATGCAGTAGGTAGTTGTAGTAACTTACTTGTAGGACATCTTTCGAAGTGCTGTTCCGCCCTTTAGCCTAAAACCGAGTTTCCTGTTAGCCATCACCAGGTGATCGACGCCAACAGATGAGAGAACAGCAATTCATAAAAGTTTAAATGGTACTTCGGCCTTGACGGGAGGAGCACTTCATCGTTTCGTTCGATACCTTGTACAAGAAACGCAGAATTTGCTAAAATGCTAGAATTACTGATTAGCTCTCCATCTTCATATATGACTCGAGACTGCGACCCTCACCTGAGGAGATGAACGTTAGGCAGACTTGTAGAGTCATTTTTCATCGTCCTACTTCGTTATCCCTCACATGTACACGGTATTTGAGATGACGGGATCACATGCCTAACGTCGGCGTTTACAGTTCAACATTCGTATTTCTCCAGGCTTTCTCTCCAGTCAGCTATATTTCAACCTAATATTTCCGACCCTTTTGCTTACAACCATTTAATTTGGCCGAATCTCACGGCCCAGAAAATTCCCCTATGGAAACCGGTGAGAGCAGTCGTCAAAGCGCCGCACAGCTAATGGTAACAGGACAAAATTGGCGAAGGATCAGTTTGGACCTTTCAAGTGATTGCTTGCGGTAAAAATGCCACAAATGTCTTAACTTTGGGTTAGGTTCGAAAGTTTGACACAAACCACTTTGAAATTTTGAAACAGGATTCTAATTTTGTTCATGTTCAGATACGAGCCTGGGTAATGGTCTTCAGAAATTCTCTATCGAAGTGAGTTTTAAACTACCTAATTACCCCCATACGTTGCAGATGGTCTCACTAGCCCTCCGAGAAGTTGTCATTCAACCGAGAAGTTTACACCGAGGCACGTGATACGAACTGTGTGATTGGAAAATGATGGTGCTATATACTCTCCAGCTGTTAGTTAATCACCTTGCTGATGAGCCATTCGTAGCAGGATGATGTAGGATTCAGCTAGGAAGGTTGTTGATTCGAATCTCACCAATTGTACAATGCTTTCCCCTTTGGAGGGTGGAATTTTACTAGATTTTTGACCATTTACTCTACACTGATCCTGACAACCATGAGTCTACCCATGTCGCTTTGTGCATCCTAAAAGTAATACGACTTATTTTTAGGGAAGACCTCATCCTACCCAAGCTGTTTTTGGAAACCTTGTGATCAGACCCAACAACTTTCCAGGTTCTGGCTAAGTCTTCGCTAAAAGTGCATCATGCCAAACTTTCTGAGGAGTACGCCAGCAAGGAGGACATGTTTACTTGTGACAGCATTTTCCCGTCAAGGTAACAGATTTTAACAGAAATTATGCGATTATTTCTCACCAATATTTTTGCTGGAAGTTTCGCTATCGTCTGTTGAAGGATGAGTCATTGTGGTAAGAAATGAGTCCGGTGATTCTATTTGATCGCCAGAGCGTTTGCCAGCAGCCTCTGCGGGGTTGCTTCTTGAAATGTCGGTGCAAACACCCTGTCGTTGCCGATCGTTCACTGCCCCATTAGGTGATAGCCCAATGCGCTGGTCATTGTGAAAAGGTTCATTCGGTGCTGACGAAGACCGTCGTCCAGCCCTACTGAAGGCTTGTTTAAGCAAGTCAATCCGAGGGAGGTTGAGATCGCGAGACTGACTGACAGTAATAGATCTGAGGGAACCTCTGCTCAGTGCCAACTTGGGGAACTTCATCTGGAAAGAAGGGTTTGCATAGATGTTTGAAAATAACGTAAATTAACCCGTTTGATTCATTTTGGATGTACCAAATATGCTATACCTATTGCCCGATAACCAAAATGATCTGTTCCAACATAGACAAAAGGTATGTGTTCATCTTTTTGGGGTAAGACGTTGGAGTCCTTTTTGAAGTTGGAGCTTGTTTAACGGCTAGCTGAGTGAGTGAATGACTGTCAGATGTTGTATCCTCTATCAAATGTCTTATACATTCTGCACGTCTCTCCATTTGGGTTGAGTGTAACCTAAGACGTTTGGTAGAAGATACAACAACATCTGACGGTCATTCACTCACTCAGCTAACCCTTAAACAAGCTCCATCGGTCTCCTGACTCACATCTGAAAGAGGGCTGCTTCATAACGAAGCATCACCGATTTAACTAAGGCATCTAACAATCTGATTCACGTGTTTGGTGCTCTGGTCATTTACGGCGTCCTTCAGTACATGTGGATCCGCGCGCTCCCTACACAACAAAGCATTATGCCCACGAAGTGCATCACTAGGTATAAGTAGACTTGCTGACTCTAAAGTATGCAGGACCGGTGCCTACAACCTAGTCCTGCATCGGTGACCCTATTTGGCGATTCTAGTACACTGCCGTCTTGACAGGAAACTTTCATGTAGGCAACACCTCAAAGGTCTTAGTAGTTCCTAATTTCTATGACATGGTTCCTTCTGTATTATAAACTTCCACTAAGTGATACTTTGAAACATCTTCCATTGGTTGCTTTGTTTGATAATTTAACTCCCACGCGTCTTCTAACTCTTCTTAGAATTAAGCAGGAAAAACTCAGATGGAGATAAAACAACAGCTGCCGAGTGACTGCCATCTTCACCTTTGATCTTGATCTGATTTTACTTGCTCGATAGAGTGAATTAGATCGAACTGTCCTCAAGGAAAACGCTCGACAAGCAGTTTGTACTCAGCCAGTCTCCAAAATGATCGTAATAAAAATTAAGTGAGTAAGTTTTGCATCCAGTTCTGCCGTCTTAATTTTTTCAACGTGTCGCCGTGGCAGAAAGGTTGCGTCACATGGTGTCTGTCCCACATTGCGACTGCACTCGGTTACTTCTATATGGGGCCCCTGTTAGTGCTCTAGTTGTGAGTAATTAAGTTGATTATCAGAAGGTAACAAGCACTAACATATGTCTCTCTTACTAGAATGTGATGAATACAGTAGTTAAGTCCACTTGACAAACAAAAGTAAGGACACTTGTTGGGAGTTCCTGAGTAAAGTTCCGGACGCAGGACGTATCTTCTCTGCAGTATAGCTGCTACACGTGTTCCGTTATTGTCCGTGGAGACTTGCGGAACTCTGTTGACTTCCTGTCCTGGGCGCGCGAGTGTCTGTGTTGACTGAGCTTAGTTACATGCCTATTTACTGTGTGTATCGTGAAGGGAGGGGTGTCTTCGTGTTTAATACGTGCACGAACATGAATACAGATTGACCTGATGTGTTGAATGAAATTCATAATCCTGGCGCGTGACGCAAATGCAAGCCGCGTAAACGAAAATGGTCGAAAAGTTTTACTGTACATGTCGGCTAAGGTTGCAAGTTGGACAGGAATTGTTACGTGGTTTGAGTGTTTGTGACGCGTGATCTGATGAGTGACCACTACACCTCCACGATAAAGGAGGCTAATGTTTGGAATCAGATAGCCTTCTACTCATCGTAATCCAGCATTAATCAATAAGCTAATGTTGACGTGCTCGCAAGCTTTCATGGAAGTACACCGTCTGAATTCATCAGAAGAGATAGAATGGCAGAAAGCGCAAAAGCACTTCACGGACAGTTCCACTTTACAAGTTTTCGATTGAGACACGTGGTATAGCTCGGCTCCAACGATTGAAAAACCTCCTGACTCTATGGTTACAACGATGATGGCAGAGAAAAGTCGAGTATGTTTCTTGGTTGACTGCTACCTTGGATATGATGGACGGTGCGTGACTCTAGGAGTCGCAGTTTTTCACGGAAAGTTGGTGATGAGTGTTTTGTTGAGTACAGGCAGTGGCAATTCGCTCGCTGGAGAAAGCTTCTGGCTGAGAAGTGGCTTACCTTTTGGCAAATGAAGTAATCTAATATAATGTCCTTCAGATTTGCCCTCCTCCCGTCGGAATAGAAAAGTAACCAGGGTGATCACTCTGTCCTAGTACCGCGAGCTTCATGCTTGGATTTGTGGCAGGTTCGGCACCTCAAATCACCGGATAGTACAAGTTAAATATGGCACATTTCAATGGCACTGGTCAATGTACTTGATAGTGAAAGAACCACCCAACAGCACTTCCACCGGATGTGACAGGTGTAGTCACATGAATTGTATTAACCTCAACATTGCTTTGGGAGTCTATCTCCTGTCTTGGTGCAATCGTCCGGTTTGGTTCATAATAAAGCAGGGAGCGGTGAATTTTAGTTCCACTCCAGTTAGGCTCAGTAGCGGTTCATATTCTTAGCGTGATAGGATTTGATTCCTGAACTTCGGCAATGCGAGGTGACCATCACCACCATGCTCTGTGGACACGATACTCATCACATTTGAGTGGGCAAACATGTTTGCCGTTGACTGTTTGGACGCTAGAGAACTGTGGGTATGCCAACTGATTGAACCGCTTATCAAGGCTTTTCGGTGAAGGAGTAAATGCTCAGTTGATCAAGAACTATCTACACCGTGGAAAAGCCGTCAGACGTGTCGACGAGTGTGGGTTCCACAGTGTTTATATTCGTTGTTTCTGTCGAATTGTACTTGCTATGTGTTAGGTTTCATAAACGCGAAGTTGTCTGACTATCAGTTTAGCACAATTGGCACGGATTAGTAGTGTACCACAACCTGAAATTATGGACGTTCAAACCCTCTAAACGTGGAAGCCGAGTAAAACACAGATTGCAGAGACACTGCTCGAGTAGCTGAATGAACACGACAATGGAATGCTCTTTCAGCGACCCGAAATTGGACCCTCACTATCGTCGTAAAGTTGGCCGCCGGGCTTTGGTCTTGATCAGCCTCTCAATTTCTGCTTTCAGAAATAGACGTTTAAAAACTTGTGCGTTTTGATACAGAGAACGGCAACTTTGGAGAAATAAATTTAAGCAATAGAGGGGGGTAACAGAAAATCCTACAGCAACACGAAACTTGTCAGGAATAATTCATGCAGATTTGTCCATTCAGTTCTTCGATTTTGAGATGAATTAAATGCCCTCTAGTCTTTGAGGTAATTAACGTATGCATCAGGTACATGTTGGCAGTATTGGGGTGCGTAACATTCAACAGACACCCGAAATTGTTCTTGGCTCGATAAGGGTCGAGGTCCACTACCACTGACTGAATTATGTTACATTTTACTCTAAAGGAGGTCCGCATGAGTTAGACAAACATGACAGCCAATATTGATTCGGCATTGATCAACACATTCGCCTTCGATAGACCTAATTTCGTTGGAGAATGCAGAGCGCTTCGTGCATAGAGAGACCAAGTTATCATTAATCAGTTATTTTGAGCAAACTGGATGTGTCAGATACATGTCTGCATTCGTTGCAAGGCTGGCACCATCTACACAGATTGCTTCCTTAAAATTCGCGGAAGAAGCTTCAAACCACCAGCATCATTTGGTTATTGGTCGACATTCAAAAAAGCTATAGTGGCATTAGCGTGAATGAAATTGCTAAACAAGAGTGCGTCCAATCCAACTTTCTCATACTTTTTTGGTTGGTTGCTCGGATAAGGTTGACTTCAGTCCGTAGTCGGTTTCTCCTAGTTTTCTATGTAATCATCCATTGCGACCAATACCACTGTGGTGTTGAGAATGCCCCTAAGACTTGTCCAAAAGAAAAGTTGGGTGCTTGAGGATTAGGTGTTATATTTTCTGGAGGACGCTGGACGTAGATGGTTTTACTTGCACTAACTGAGTCCTAATGATATACCGATTAGCTCGCAAGATCACTCAAGAAATCCATTAGTCGAGTGACTGATTTCAAGTATCAGTATAAGCTTCTCTGAGGACAGCGAGTGAAGCACCCGAGGGAGTCCTTCCGCTCTTGTTAGCAGTGTGCTGGTCATTGGTACCATTGAACTTTCCTATGGGTAGCTGGATCACAGCCGTTCTGGGCTGTGGCTATTTCAGATTTTCAACAGAAAGATCAAAAGACTCGCTCCACTAAGTTGAAAGTAGAGTGACAGGTTTTACCCTGTATGGTTGGCCAATTACCGTTGTTTTGAATCGGCCATTCTGCATTAAAGTTATTACGAAAAATCTAGGTCCAAGGAGGTTAGTGAGAATAGTCTTTGTGAGGTACTAAAAATCAGGTATATATTTGGCAAATGATTCGCAATAATGCCGGAGTTTAGATGTCATAGATCTGCCCGTTTGCTTTAGTGTGCCTGATGACTGCTAAGAGATTTCTATATTTCCGCACTTATGAAGCAGATCAGATGACAACTAGAAACGAACTGTTCGTTTAACATGAAAAATCGGACTGCGCGAATTGAAATACGCCATAGGTTTGAATGCTTTAACTCCCAAATGGGAAATCGAAACCAAACGTTATTTCGTGACTTGTTTTTTCTTCCATCCCATGCTAAACGTTTCGGTAGGTTTTGAATAAGGAGGAACGAATGGTAAAAACATGACCTGTAATGCTCGCAGTCGGACAGTGTAGGTTCATTGAGCATCTAAATCCACGGTATTTACATAGGGTTGCGGTGTGAACTCCAGTGACTTAAATCTCAACTCTTTTTTGTCTCTTCACGAACACCCAGAATAACCCAGTATCATCAAAACCACTGGTCGCCTGGCTAAGCATAAAGCAATCAGGTCATTCGTCAGGGAATGCGAACACAATTGGACAGATAATGGGTATTTTTGTGGTCAGACTAGTTGTCAATTCTGTAAGAATGATTTGCGAACCTTCAAAATCCGAATTCAGAGCAGTCAACTTTAAAAAAAAACAGAAAAGGTTCGGATGAGTGGGTTCTATAAATCAGGCAAACTGAACAGCTTCTGATTCATCACAACCGGATGAGACGCCAGCTTCAGAGGGGAAACCTCAGACACCTCATATAGTACGACGTCTTGGCATGTGTTATGCCAGTCTTATCCAGCAAACAAATACTTTATAACGGAACTAGGCCCTGACAATATATTTTTTAACAGCATCTGCGGACTACATTGTAAGTGATAATCGATTAGCCCTCAACAAGGCTTGTGCACATTCATACTAATGCACACCTGAAAAGCGAGAAAATGACAATAAGATTGCCTTGTTATTCACTCATGGAGGTTGGTGGGACGTTTAAGCAGAAACAAGCACTTGAAGTACTTCCCAAAGTCTTCAAAGTAGGTAACAAAGAAATAGAACGAACAAATTATTTCAATACCGAAGTTACCGTTTTGTCTCGTTTAGTGCGAAACTCTTCGGATACGCACCGTTCACCTTGAGTATACACCTTTCAGTAGCCTAGTAAGTTCTCATGTCGATATTTTTTTGATCAGCCGGTTTGAAGAATGATGTACACGTGTTTCATGAAAGCGGAAAAAAGCTTCCCCAATTTCTGTGAGATGAAATAGGTAGCACTAATCACGAAAACGAGTAATCGATGTAAACACGAGAGATTAGATTCGGAATGTAATCATGTTCCACACACATACGCCTACTTAGGCATTTCAATCTTTCTGTTCACCGCTCAGGGTGTTCTCTAGAAGTAAATTACGTTCAATCATGTCACTTTAGATTGGAAAACTGTGATGTTTGTACGAGTTGATCTTTGTAGGGTTAATGCAGTCTCTTCACGATGTTGTGAAAGTCATGTGGGAAGCAACACGATTAAGTGTCCTCACATTACTTAAAACCTCATGAAGATGGATGCTGCGAATCCCTTTGTGTTAGACTACGTAACGCATCCGTTTCGTCATTTCTGGTTCCTTGTCCTACCGTTATTGACCGCAGTGAAAAATGAGGTTGTAAACAATCAGATATGAGGTATATGTGTCCGGATCTCCAGACATGTTGACTACCTGTGTTGAGATCAGGTTATTTCAATTCGAGAGTGAGAACCGTTTAACCGCAGACATTGCTTTTGTACCATACTCCAAAGTGATAGACTAGATTTGGTTCAACTGAAAGTAGAACACTAATCAGCTGATTGAGTGACTCAAGATCTCCACTCAAAGAGATCTCCGGGAGCCGAGCACCGGCATGATGGCCCAAGTGGAACAGTCGGTACGTTAGTGGATAAAAACTTACTTTGATATTCGAAGCGCTTGTTTGTTCATCACTACTGACCACGTTTGATGCAGTCCTGTCACGGAATTCATGATTTATATAGGCTGGAAATTCAAATTGCTTGTATGAGACAGGGATCGTGTGCATGACTGACTGACATCAACAATATCGTATCCCACATCCGGTAGTTTTATCGTGCTGTTTGCACACTAGTTGGTGGTGATGCTTTCATTTCACTAGTTAGTTTTCTCTATAGGTTTACCTCCTACAATGACTCCTTCAAACGGGAAAACGGTCTGTGTGTAAACTACCTCCTCTTTTCAATAATCCTCCTCACAGTAACTCCAGTAATTCAGTAGTACGGCTGCACATGCCACCTTTTAAAGTTGGACCGTTTTGCCTTCGGTCCAGCTTAACGGTGGCGAGCTATCGAACGCAAACAAAGCGACGCGATTTCCGATTACAATCCTATTGGATGTCGAGTATGAAATCGAGGTCATGCCCAAAATAGCTCTATGCGACGTGGTACGGGGTGAACTTTCAGTACACAATTAGCGAGATGTGGTAATGAAACAGAACAAAAGAGCTTCGTGTCACTATGGTGGAAGGAGAAACAATAAGGATTTAGATCATATAAGGCGATGTCTTAGGTCACTGCGCACCGAAATCAGATCGATTTTAACGATCCGGTCTCTTGAGCCAAGACCACTTACAGAGAACGGTTTAAGTAGTGCTAGTTGCGGGTGGTCTCCCTGTAGCAAATTTTGTCTTATGCACAGCAATCTTGTTGTTGACACAAAGAAGTGGTGACGCAAGGTGATATTGTTACTCTAGCATTATTGGCCCACAAAAACAACCATTTCTGATCAGGATCACTACTATGGTCCGCAAAATCCAGTGATGGAACAAAAGATGGACCTTAACGTTTGAACGTCATCTCATGGAATTTTTTCCCGGGTAATCACCTGCAGTGTCATTCACTTTTGAACTGTCCCGAAAGACGAATTCGAGTGCTTTTCCCTTCTCTGGAGAGGCCACTTGGAAGAACCAACCCAACTCGGTCTCCACGTTGAGGCGATCTGTTTCGGGCAACAGGCTTTACTACATGATTATGCAGATTATGCCGAACTTTGATTCTCTGAGAGAATTTCCCCCGGTAGTTCCTACACTGTAGTAACCTCTTCCGCTATCTCCCTCGAAATCAAGGGAGCAAATACACAAGAGGCTCACTGAAGGTCCATTTTATGGACCTGTCTATCTTGTGAGGCTTTTTTCATCAGGAAACAGTTATAGCCCTAATATATGGTCTTTGGAATCCTGGAACATCTCAAGGATTATAGAGCTTAATTAAATACTCAGGTTTTTAGAGCTCTGTGGCACTGTTTAAATGTTGGCGTGTACTCACCAAGCAGTATGTTTTATATGAAGGTGTTGGGTTGTGTGAGTATTATCAGGTTTACTCTCTCTTAGGAGTCCGATTCAAGACCGACTCGGAAGTAAAACTGGTTGCAGTACAATTTAGGGGGCCATGCATTTCAGGATTAATTAGTAGTGTATCTTTAAAGAGCGCCGTAATTTTGGAAACCGCAGTCCCTTGAAAGAGTGGCATTTGTTAGCAGTGAAACCCACCCACATCATATACACACCACTGGAAACTCTCAGCAACGTTGAAAACGTTTGCTAATTGACACAACCCGAACTAAGTTAGGAGGGAGAAGACAGTTTGAGGAGCGCCAATTAGGGTTTCGAAACGAAATTACTTCCGAATGCTCCTCCAAGCTTCATTATTCAGCAGTTTGGTCTTTACTCAGAACAGATTCCTTAAACATCTCATGTGGTCCCCGCACAGGGAAGCAACCATATTGCACCGCACTATCTTCGTCTGTACCTTAGTGAACAGAAATCTTCTCTGACTTGCCTTCCAAAAGATGGCCACAGGGTACCCTAAAGTTTCACAGTGTAACGCCACAGACTATTCCTTGTATTAGTGCAAACACTCCTGTTGTTATCGACTCACGGAGCATGTAAATGGCAACAGGGGTGACCTTAAAACACTACCAGTCTCCAGTCCTAGGTGGGACTAGAAAGAGCGCTGAAGGATGATCGTCTGAGAACCTATAACAAGGGTAGTGCTATGCTTAGTCTTTGAGGCTTATATAAATTCTACAATTCACTGGCACATTATAAACGCTAGTACGAATACTGGCTTACGTGACGGCACTTCAAGGTACAGAGTTTTATGAACCTTGCCGGTTTGTTCCATAAATCTCAAATCCTCTGTGCGTGTGGATGAAGCCAACGCGCTATCCGACAAGTAGCCAAAAGCGTGATGCTGAATGTGGACGAATGACTTTTCCCTCACTGGTCGCTGCATTCTCTGAATCAAACACAAAATCAAATGTACCTCGGTATAACATGTAGCAATGATTTTGGAGGTTAGAATACGTAGGCTTGAAAGCTAGTGTAATATATATATA